TTGCCCTTGTACAGTGGTAGCACAAGGGCATCCTTCAGCTCAGGAGGCACCTCCTCCTTAATTCACACACGTTGCACTAAGTGGTGCAGCGCAGTCACCGACGCGGGTGCGCCGTGTTTTAATACTTCAGGCGGGATCCCGTCGGCACCGACACATCTGTCGTTTCGCAGCTGAGCAACTGCTCTCTGCGTCTCATTCAGTGTTGCGTGTCCGCCAGGCTCGCCTTCACGTGCTGCTTGAGGCCGTTCAGAGTAGGCCAGTCGATATCTGAATGGTTGTTCGAAAGATAGTCAAAGTGTTTTTGCCAGATCTGCATTATGTCTACAGTCTTTGCCAGCTGCGCCTGAAGTATCATCGAGCAGCTTTCTTATCGGCTACAAAGTTACTCTTTACACCGTCTTCAGAGTCAATGAATTCCTTGTATTGGCACCGTTGAGCGTAGCATTCCATCTCATTCACCTTCTCCATCCACCATGCATTCTTGTTGTGACATAGCTCTCGAGTCAATTGTTGTCGAAGTTAGCATGGTCCGCCGCATGTGAAGCGAACGCTGCATTCTTCGCTGACACTCATGCGCCAGTGTCGCATTGTTATCTCCGAACCAATCAAGCTGCTTACAGTTTGCGCGTCTGATGGTTTCGTCGGCAGCAGCCGTCACCTGTTTACAGATGTGGTATCATGGGTCGTTCACCGAAGCAATGGATTCGATATCACCTAGGTGGGTAGCCATCATCTTCTCCAACTCCATCCTCTTCTCGATAGTACCTAGGGAAAGAACGTTAAACCTCACCAGTTCACAGCAGGTGAACAATACAAATTTTCAAAATATTTGTACACTTTAGTCCGCCGTGACTTGTGATCAGTGTCACACTCAGCTCCCCGCAGTACACGGGTCATGCGCACTTCACGCATGTCGCGCTGGCGTACGATGACCTAGTCGAGCAGATGAGCGTGACAACCCCGTGAGTGAGTCTACGTAGCTATCTCACACGCACACAATGCAAACTGTGCTCGTAATCGTCAAGCCATGAGTAACGCACAGTGAAATCAGCGGGTCACCGTTCCCATTGTCTGTGTCAATACCATACGGACCGATTACGTCTGTTCACACCACAGCACTACGCGTAACACTTTCTTTGATAACACCGAGTAAGAATAACCCATCGCTCTTCTGCACAGAGGGCTTCACGGAAGATAACTGAGTGTAAAACCGATCGCTCAAGTCATCGGGATAACACATGATGGGACCATACGTGCTAATAAAATTGGCAAATTTACCTCGTCCAAGTCGCAGACGGAGAGTCATCAGTCGTCCACTGATGCCAGTCGGCTCTGCCATCATCTGGCCATTTAGGCAGTCGGATAATGCAAACCTGACCCCATGTTCACGGGGTGCTGAGTTGGCGTTCTCCACGCAGTAGAACGTGTACGCAACACCTGCCTCATGCAGCTTGCCTTGATCAGCGAGCGGAGTCTCGCTGAGTTCGGCAATGTCGATTCCCTAACGCGCGAGTTTCATCGCGACCAGTGCAGTGGATTGCCCGGGTCTCACTCGTGTGCCGATCTAGCAGTGTGTGCGCGTTGCAGCACCTGACTGCATTGGCAAGCAGTCCTACGTGTGGCGACGTGTTGTAGGACTTAGGGAGTTAGTTGATATTAGGAATGTCTAGATTATGTGTAGGAGAAGAAAAAAGTGAGGTGTCAGCGGTAGCATGTTTTCGCTTATGCGCTCCACTATATGCAGTCGATAGGACGACCCTTTTTCTAAGTGCACTGCGCAACGGCCGATAAAACATATTATTATTATTATTAGCGTGATTCATGGTTAGGGTTTTGTCTACTATACTGCCAGGGCGTCCGCTCCTAACAGGACTTGGGTCCTCTGCCAAAACCTTTGATAAAATGTACACCCGAAAGACAACTGCTCGTACGCCATGAGTCAGTGAACTGACTCATGCGGAATTTTGTCCTGGCTCAGCTAGAATATGCATATAATCCAACTCTCACCCAGCGGTCGCCACGAGGAGGCGTCCAGAACATGATATATATATATATATATATATATATATATATATATATATATATATATGGTTGACGCCATCCGGATCTGCCTGTCGCTGCGGTCTGCGTAAGAGAGCCACAAGACGACTGAGCCTAAAGAGGACCACGGGTGGCTTTCACTACACCACCCACAGCTTCATCTACACTCCCCTTATATAGTGAAAATGCGAAGAATAGGAATGGGGGACTTGTGGATGTGAGATACGTTTCATAAACGGATCCGGTCCCAACTCCTTCAACATGCACTGTGGCAGGATTTCAGTCAGTCAAATTGAGTGATCTTGCGTCTTAAGCGTACGCAGGGCGTTGGCTGAGTCAGCCCGTTCCATACTGGATGGAATCACTTTTTCGAACAAATTGTGACAAAGGACTTCTCAGGGTACATAAATCAGTAGCCTAAATATATTTTTCACAACTGACCTAGAAACCTGCCATCGCTCGATCTGTCATTTGTTTGGTTTTAGCGCCGAACATATGAGTAACCTATCAGCTTCAGTGATGAATACGATGGACGCGACTACAATCCATTCGTTCGTATTATTTCACCTTAACACTGATTAGGTTCATGACGAAGTTGAACAAAGATTTGGAAATTAGATAGTCCTAACGAACGTCACTTGTCAGAATGACATTCGACTAGTCACCATGGCCCCTACTCTGCCTGTCGTGTTCAGGTATGGAGTGTGTAAATTTTTCACATATTTCATGGGACCGCCTTTTCGCGCATGTATTTCGAAAAGGATAGACCGATCGACTGAGACGAACGCAATGCAATCCCCGGAACACAGCTATTTTCGATCTGCGGTACGCGTAGCGTTGTTATAACAGCTGACGCAGAGTAAATATATGTCTATAAAATTCTAGCATGGGTCTGGACCTGCTCGCTCTTCTCTACCCCGGGATTCCTGTTTCACAATAAAGCAGTGAACGTAAACTGAAGCCGATAATGATCTCACTACTAACTGCGATATTCGGTGCGACTATCCTTCATGTATATTGCCACTGGGTACCAATTTGCTACGTAGAACTTTTCGTTCTCTAAACTGCAGCGACATTATATTGTTTTACATGGTGTAGTCCCGTCCCCCAGTTTCGCTCACTTTGAATCCTATGTTTTGACTGCTCTCATTCTATTTACGCGTATCATTCGATCCCCCCAATCACGCTGGGGGAGGTTCTGCAGCTCTTGGCTGCACTGGTCTGACAATATATCTAACGGACCTCTCTCTTTCTCCCTCTGTGGTATTCTAGTTTCTGTTGGGTTAGATTTCTACTACCTTTCACGATGCGGGACTTTAGTCGGTCTTACGTCGTCAACAGTCGTTAGCACACCCGGATAATTTCTGAATTCATTACAATCCAGCGGTCTAGTTATTATTGGGTCCGAACGCACTGCGGCGAAATGCGGACTCAGCCATCACTTGTGTGAATTAATAGATGGACTCGTAAGATGGGAATGGAGGACCAACGGGTAGCCGCTTTCGGCTACTCCAGCGCTTCCCCACCACTGGTCTTAGAAAATGATCTCTTATTGAGATATCAAGGATAGCACCGACTATCCAATAGGAAGCGCTGTCTAATTCTTTGGTCGGCACACCTTTAGCAGTAGTCCTCTTGGCCTCCGCCTCTGAGTCATTTATTGCCCAGGTAGCGAATGGTTAACTGTGGTCCGTAATTTACGAAGCATCATCTCAATCTTTACTTTAGGCGACAGCTCGTGTTGCCAGCACTCTTTGTTTGTATACTTGCTAGTTTAGTAAAGCGATGGGCTCCTTTTCTGTTAAGTGACTCACACTGTAGAGTAAATGGGGACAGAAGCGGTAGTCCCAACCTTTATGCTAGCCACTATGAAATCAACGTGATACCAGTGCTGGTAAAATTACTGACTTCTCTTTTGCGTTCATCATCACAATATGGAGCTGGGTTTCCGAATAAGATAACATCTTGTCTTTCAGTGGTTACCAGCCGACGTAGCTATTTCTAAACAAGCTTTGCATAGTAACCCAATTCTGAGGCATGCTACCTGAACCTTCAGTATGCAAAACAATGTGGCCGCCAGCTCACTTTCTAGCCCTTTTTGACACAAAACATGAGACGACTTATCATCTTGCTCCTCCTGTCACCCACGTTGGCAGTGATTTGCATTTGCTTGTTGGAACTATTCCACGTTGCTTTGTGTGCCAGTCGTTAGACGATACTACTGGGTTAAGGGACGGAAATCAGTGGTCATTCTCACGTTCCACTTCGGAGTTCATGCGATCCAGCTTGCCTTCGGATTGAGATATGATAAGGCACTGAGCACAACTGCCACTGATGCCGAGTTTGATTCCCTCTTATAACCAGCTTGCTGGTTTTATGTGTGCGTGCTGCTGTGTTGATTGCGGAACAAGATTGACTAAGAACAGTGGCAGCGAAAGCCGCATGTACTCGCTCTCCCATGTTGCCGCTCGGTTGTTCAACCATACACTGTTGGCAAGGTGTGAGCATCACTTCTAGTTAAATGGGTTTTTGTCCTAGTATGGGGGCACTTCTTTTTTGTATTATCTTCCCAATGCATGCTTCTCCGTTGAATCAATAGTTCGTATTACTGCGGCACTGCTGCTACGGCTGTTGTTCATGGGGATGATACCGGTTGGAATATATACGCATCATCAGTGCTATCATGTTATTTTACCGTACAGTAGAATTCTTTTTATAGTGTTGCTTTGAAGCTTTTTATACGTCCATAACTAGTGTGTACCTTTTCCACGTGTAAATTGCGGCGACCCGTGAATTAGTGATTCCTGTTTCACAAGACTTTAACCACTTCTCAACCTGTTATTCAAAATATATTTTATCTTTTTCGTAAGCACTGTGCGGATAATCGTCACACTTCGTCTCTGCGCTTTTTTGTAGTCCCATTTTACTGTTCGACGCTACGGTTTCTTTCTCTCGTTTAGTACTGCCAGAAGACATCGTTTTTACCAGTCCAAATGATCTCACCCCAACAGCTTTGGATGCCTATAATTTGTTCAAGGTAATTACTCAAAGGTTGCATCTTTGCAGAATTGTGTGTTCTAAGGATTACGGTTGAATTTTCCGCCGTTCCCTTAGTGATCATTACTTATGTGTAGGTTCCAGTTTATCATCATCTGATCGTTTCGTTTTTGTGTTTCCTACTGTAATGAAATCAGTAGTCAAATTTTCATGAACTTACTCTTGAATTGCTTTCTTCTCTTGTGGTTACACGAAATATTGCCTACATTAGATAACGGAAAATTGCCATTATTGTTTTGCGCGCCGAATTGAACCAATGCTTTTCCCCGACAGTTATTGCTTTTCTTGGGTTCGAAGAAAATCGTGCTTAATGTAATGATCACTTTACCTTCGCGTTCTTTTTCCGCTTCGTAACCGTTCTGCCATGCACGTGACATCTTCGTTATTAACGCTGCTGTGGTCTAGTATGCTTAATTCATAATGCTCTTTTGGACCGTCTCTAAAATCGGATACCTCATTAAAAATGCTTCGGCTATTATTACAGCAAATAGATAACTCCCAAGCTAAATTTCAATATATATCTGGTACTTTAGCAGGCTTCCTCAACTTCCTTTTTAGGATATCTGTTCTCTTCTTAACGACGAGCCTCCGACCTGGTTATTTGGTTGCGGTGAAATTAATTTGTCTCTGGGATTGGAGTTGCTGGAGTCTGTTATCTCACTATACACTGTATTATTTCGCCAGGTACGTTTACTGCTGAACACAAAGTATTCATCAATTTACCTGGTTACTGATTCCAAATGAAACATATCTACTCAGCGCTGTGAATGTGTGTGACTCGATATATGTCTAGTTTGCGCTGCTGTTATGCACTTCTGCGCCATATTGCTTTATTGACGGCCACATATCGAGTGCCGTGAATTAATTTCTTCTTAACACCTTTGCAGTTGTGTTCATTCTTTGCTCCGTACGTTCTTAATTAAGTCATCAACAATTCGACTGTCAGCTATCTTCATGTCCTAACTCGTTCCTTACCCGACAATCATCACCTTTGAAAGAGACTGTTTAAGTGGCGCATAATTCATCTCCTCGTTAACCTTATCACGGTTTTCTCCGAAATCCTCACATCGCTCACAATTAATGTTACTGGAGGATACACTGACTATATGTTTGTGATTCATCAATTACTTGTGGAGTTGAAATTAGACATCACCTTGGTGTTGTTACTTTCACGCCTTCTTGAACCGTCAGCTTGCGCTCGGTTATACTTTCCAGGCACCCGCGGTGTTAGTTACGATGGATATTCAAGTGGTCATCGGTTAACCAAGCTAAATATTAGCATTTTTCCCACAGGGATTCGGAAGAACGCCGTTTTTTTACTACCTGATAAGCCTATTTGACGTAGACACTGGCCCACTCGTTATCTGTAGCTTTAGGAGTGACTAACTGTTGTTCCATTGACTGTCGTCACTTTCCGCTAGCCAAACCATGTTAAGGCTTTTGCTTCGAAATTTGGTCTGTGTTGGTGTCTTCCGGCTCCTCAGTTGGGGTCCGAAAGACGGCTAAACATCGGTCAGTACAGATCCCACAGGAATCCAGTTTTCCGCGCAACCCTCTGTCCTCAAACAGGGAGCAGAATTTATCGATCCTTCAAGTATCCCTAGTCTGCGGCTTATCGCATGAAGCGCCGGGCAAGTTGGGGTAGGCAGACGCCGCGCTTGAGTGCGTGGTGCATCGTGTGAGCTCCGATTGGATCTCCGGACTGCCGTTAGAATACCTTAGGGTTTGTCTCGGGGCGCGCAATGTGTGGCAATTTACTTGCAAATCGGTAGACACATCCCGGTCACACGATAGCATAACTAGAATCACAGCTTATATATTTAACATTATGAGAATGTTACTCTTAAGTAGCGGGATTTTAGTTGTAATTTTGTTGACGTATACATCTTAGTAGTTTACAAACTACGTAGCCCAGCTTAGTCCGGAAAAGCATCAGACGCGTTTCGCCTTATTGGGGCTCGTCAGTGGTGCGCATTCACTCGGTCCGATACTGGAGATCGAAGCCATGACCGCTAGAGGCAGATGCCAACTAGCCAGCAGCTTAAGCCACTTAGCCAGACGGGACGTTAGCTGGGCTACATAATTTGCAGTCTAACTGGAATATAACATCATCTATCTTCCACTGCCACTGGAATTGGCTAGCCTGCGAGTTGATAACGTCCTTTCACTAGACGCTATATCCATAGCATTTGAAATTAGGTGGGACAATTTTTTTATATTGCTCGTGGGTTTCAGGATTTTAGTTGAGGTATTCATCCCAGTAGTTCACAAGCTAGATAGCACAGCCTAGTCCGGAAAAGCATCAGACGCGTTTCGCCCTATCGGGGCTCGTCAGTGGTGCGCAAGGTAAACTGCAAATGGCTGTACCCACGGACGCCGCGGATTTTTGAATCACCGTGTGCAGGGTACTACTTTTGCTTCGGATTATTGTTATGAGGGCTTTTCCTATGTAAATTGTGCACTAATATTTTTTCACTTGGTGTATTTTCCAAGCAGTGCAGTTGGTGGATATTCTTTCGGTAATTCCGGAGATCTCATTGATTGACCCAACTGTCATCTCCATCCGCCATCTTGAATGTGCTCTATCATGTGATGCCGTGTCAAGCTCCTTGTGGTTTGTATTCGAAAGTTGTTGGACATAACACTCATGCACATCGGTGCATCGGCTGCGATGTTTTGTTCCATATTTCGTGTTTCGAACATCTCTCGACTTCCTACATCTGTTTTTCTAAATTATATGTGATAAATGTCACGGTGCAAGACATCAGAATACACGGGACCGCCAACAACTACAGGAAAACATCTTACAGACAAAAAACAAACTGTTCACCACGTGGGGTCAAACGCCCTCATGGAAGTACCTCTGTCACCTCGCCTTCCCTAGTCACTCCGCGATCTGCACCATCACCAGCATCTTCAAACCTGCCCGAGCCTCAGGTTCAATGTTCCCCACTGATTGAAGACTCAGACTCGGAACTTGCGAAATGACGCTTCACTGATCAGTTCGTGAATTTCTCAGAACCTTCTGTAAACCTCAGAACACCGAGGATTCCTGGACCACTCAAAATCGCAGGGTGCCATGTTTTTTCGAGTTCAGGTGTCCCCTGCTGATAACCAACAACCCTAACCGATAAGCGTCTTAAGTTCTGCTCTCATAGGTTCATCACCGATTTAGCTAAGGCGTCATAATCTCCTGGTCTTCCACGCACCAGTCAGAAGATGGAAACCCTCAGATACGTTGTGCTCTCTATGTTGGGTTTCTCCAGTGGCTCATCGATAGACTCTTGGATCTGAGTGAAGGCAATGTGACGATTAAACGAGCAATCCGGCTTACCCAGAAACCTAACCCGTCATGTCGATCTCTGAGAATCACCTTTGAAAATCACAATATGCCTCAGCTCAGACTGTCTCGTCTGTCAAGGCTGAAAGGCATAAAGATTCACATCCGTCGAGGCTTGAAACCCGAAGACAGAGATCGTTTGAAGAGTGCGGTCATTGAGCTCAAACGGCGTATAGAAGAAGGTGAGACTGACTTTTCAATTGCCAGTTGTATGTTGTTGCTTGAACTAAAGGGACAGGTATCTTTACCGTACAGTAGGGTCGAACGTACCGCTGCATTGAACACTCTACCCTTCTGGGCGTGAGTGATGTCACGCCTTCGTCATAATTGGCGAAGGTTTGTAAAAGCGCGTCGAGCTTTTGCTGTACGGTTCATGATCTCATCTTCAGTTCCAAGGGCGCTATAACAATTACTCGGGTAGTTGAATTTCTGAACGACTTATAGCTGATCCACCTCGACGCGTCTTCGCAGGATTCGGTCCAGGCCAGTATTGAATTAACGCTTTGCTCTTCGAAGATGCGAAGCAAAACCTGAAGTGATGGATGGCTTGTGCTAATTTGTCCAGAGCCGCTTGGGACCTTTGTGAGCTGTCATTGCTGGAGGTAATGTTGTCAGCATACTCCAAGTCAAGAACTCGTTCTCCTAGGAGCAGATCCACACCTAAGTCGTGTCTTGTGTACGCGATTTCCATGACTTTGTCAATAGCGAACTTAAGGAGGAACTGTGACAGCGGACACCCTTGTCTCACACCGCTGGAGATATTGAGGGGCGACGACAACTGGACGTAAGCCCGAGCTACGCGCGTATAATTCTCGGATAGTTTTTGCATTTTTCTCTTGCACACCTTTCCTGATTGACAGTCCAAACGGGCACATCTATCCACTGAATTAAATGCACCTTCGATGTCGAGGAACACGACAACGGTGGGCCGCCAATATATGTGCCGGTGCTCCAACAGCTGACGCAAACTGAAGTTGTGGTCAATGCAGCCACAACCTCGATGAAACCCGGCTTGCTCTTCAGAAATCTGGCTTTCGCGAGTGCCAGTCAGTCTGTGAAGGATGATAAAAGCAAGCAATTGGGAGGCGATGGAGATTCGACTGATTCCTCTATGGTTGCCGTATTCCGATCATGAGCCTCCCTTGACCATGACGAAGCTGCTCGAGTTGCTTGGGACAGCTTCACTAGTAACTCGTATAAATCATCCACAAGAGCAGATCCCCCAAATTTGTAAAGGGCTGGAGGAAGATCATCTGGTCCCGCTGCTTTATTTAACTTCAACAGTCCGATCGTATGTTCGAATTCTGAGCGAGATGGCGGATCCAAAGGGATAGCCCAGGGAGCGGGGCGATCAGTAGCCAGCGAGAAATCTGACAATTCCGAACGATTAAATTGCCTTTTAGACTGCTCCGCCTAACACTAAGCGTTTTGACAAGTTATGATCGGGCTATCCACTCTCGTCACGTATAGTTTCACTAACGCTAGGTCTCCTGCTGCCCGTTTTCCTTATCAGCCGGAACAACTTAAGTTGGTTATCAAGCGTAGCTACCATTTCCATCTCTGATGCACAATGAGACCACCAGGATTCGCAGTCTCTCTTCATGCTGGCACGAATTTTTCTGTGAGTCTCATTGTATTCGCTTCAGGCCGGAATGTTCCAGCGAGTATCGATAATTTCCAGAGACTGCGAAGCGATCCAATGTCCATGTTGGCGACTATATTTACCACATGAGGATTTGCCTGCTGCTAGTAAGGTTTGGTAAACATGGGACCAGTGAGCTTCAATTGTTTCCATTGAGCGCTTACTCAGCCCGCATGTCAGCGTACTTCCATACGCATTCAGAACAGCTGGCTTCATCAGTTAGCTGGGGTCAGTTCGCTCACAACGTCGTCTCGTGCGTCTGCCAAACCGCATCCGCAGCTCAGCACACACAAGTGCACGGTCGGTGTCCGCACATGTGCTCTAAATCGAGTGATAGTTTTGAACGAAGCCTCTCCAGCGGTAACTGATTGCAATATGATCGATTTGCGTCCATCGCTGGTTCGAGGTTGTTGGGCTCAAAGTCACCCTCCGGCGGGTGCTGTGTCTGAAATTAGTGCTCGCAGGAAATAAGCAGGCATCTTCACACAAATGTAGTAACCGCTCACCGTTATCATTACGGGAGAATACACCGTATTGGCCGCCCAGATGCCGTTCATCAGTGGATAATATTTCAACTTGAGCGTGTAGATGCCCTGCCAGCACAACAGTGTCCGAGCTTCTTCTGTGGCGAAACAGCTTGTTCGGTTGGCGGTAGAAGTTGTTGTTTACCTAATCATCGCTAGAGTTTATGGACGCGTAGGC